TGTAAACTAGTTGTGTACTTAAAGTTTACTACTGTTATACTTAAAGTATACTTAAAAGTATACTTTTATATACTAGAAAGTGGGCCAATTTAGTCCCAAGGAGTATTGAAATAGTACACTTACAAGTATACTACTAGTACACTGATATTTGTATACTTACTACATAAAGTATACTTAAAATACTTAAAATTCTTTGGAGTTCATATAGCGGTAATTGTGACATTCATTATCAGAGGTAATGGTGAGGTCCTTTTATCCGTGTCTTTACACACTTTTTATTTCAGGCTCAAATTCAGCATGCGTGCATTCTGACAGAATTCAGAATTTCAGAATTCAGAATTCAGCAAGCATGCATTCTGACACGGGGAGTCAGAATTGGGCACAGGCTCTGGAGAGCCTCCCAACCCCCCCAAAAATAATGTTGTCGATATTTTTTTCTCTTTGGAGGAAATCTCACATCACAGCTGTTATGTTTATGGAATATTTAGCTTGGACATGAGAATTTTCCTAAATATTGTTCAGAAATGCTGCATGAGATTGTATGTAGGCTATTACTGCAGGTATAGCCACAAGTTTAGTTTGAAAAAGGTACGTGCGTCATTCTTCAATTTCTACATTTTCTTGGTCAAAATGTATGTATGCCTATATGTATCCTATTTATAAGACAATTAAATTTCTTACAAAATGCAACTGTCTGTAAATTGATTAAAGACGTAATCTATAAGTGAAAGACTGCAAATTACAGTTTGTGATTGTTTATTTACATTGCACTTATTTGCATTTCACTCACTGAACAAGCTGTACATGCCATTTTGACTTCTGCAACACGGAACGGGACGGCAGAACGGCCAGAATTAGATGATTGACTACAAATGTAAACTTTCTTTAGTCCAAGGTTGAGAAATGTCTCAGACTCAGTAAGCGAGTGAAGGTGTGGGCGTTGAGCATTGGCCGTTCTTCTCTCACCATGCTGCTCTTTTCATCTCACACCCGTGTGGTTAGATCAAAAACATGCGACTGCATTCAGAATTACAGCAGATTGTCAGACACAGTAGAGTCAACCGGCAAGAAGAACACCTGCTCAGTCTGCATTGACCTTTCTCGAAAAAAAAATCTGCAGATCTGTGCAACACAGAGAAACCGCTGCAATATAGAGCAACAGTGACTTTGTGGATAATATATGAAATATATGAACCTGAAACATAAAACCTCTATCACTAGGAGCTCTTGTCTATGTTAGCAATACCACATCAACACAATGTCCTTTTTGGCCTCTGAGTTCATTAAGCAGGGTTATGTCTTGACAAACACATCATGTATGGAATGACAAATATTAACAGGCCTCAGCAGACTGACACATTGTACTTCCAAAGTAAGGAAACTATAAAAATGCAACAGAGAAGTGAATTAAGCAGTCATTCTGAGATGCATGTAATATGGCCCCATGACCCCATTTCCTAAAACTCTAAATTAAGCCTATGTAGCAAGTTATTTTATCTCGGCAACATGTTTTCCAAAAGCATCATGACCAGTATAACTAATTAGCACCTTCAAGAGGCCCAGACCACTGGGAAACTAACGCACAATGTAAACAGGTGTAGGACTAGCTTTTGCACATGTGATTTATAGGCAATGAGGGTCCACCCACTGGAGACTTGTAAGGTTTTTCTTTCTTATTTTGTTTCTCCTTGCAGGCCGTTTTCAGTCAAACTGGGAGGCGTTTCATTGTATGATTGCCTTGTTAAGTTAAAAGAGGTAACATCAGATATTTTTTCTAGACACTTGAAAATATAACCATGGGTACTTGGACGCATCTTTGGACGCTGTTATGTTCTTGCTTTTTTGCTTCACACAGTAAGTTTTTTTTTTTTGCATTTTGCCTGCATTTTCAGCTAAGAACATTCTATCACATGTATATTTGTTAATTTCAAAGAGTTTAACTATTTAATCTAATATTCTAGTCATAATACAAAACTCGGAAACATTTTAAACGTGTTTTTATTATTATTTTGTTTGCAGCTACTCACTCGTTCATCTTGACTCAGTCACCGGGACTCACACACGTCTCAGTCGGCGGTTCTGTAGAATTAAGATGTATATTTGAGCAGACCGTTAGGTACTGCTTTAATGCTGCTGCGTGGGAAAAGTTGAATCCGCGGACTGGAAAACTCACGACAGTGAATACTAACCATGAGAATAAAGTTCGACAACATGATGATAAAACTTGCGTTTTGACTCTTAATAACTTAAGCCTGAAAGATTCAGGCATGTACTATTGTATCAGCCATTATAACCAAATGGCTGTGATCGGCAATGGGAGCAGGGTGATCGTATCAGGTAGGCCTAAATCTGGAGTGAAGTCTCATCACACTTTTTTTAGGATCAAAGTTACTAAAACAAGCAACATTTTGACTTGCTGTTCTATATATATATATTTAAATAGTTAGAATAGCTATAGGCCTATGACAACTTAAATAACAAAAAATTATAAAAATTGAAAATTACAGTAACATAAAATCAATAATTGTGAATTAAAATTAAAAATGTATTGGTGAAATTGTCCAGCTGATTATATGTGACATCTTGGCATACATTTTATTTTCTTCATTACAATTCTCAGATATGCTGATGACCAAAAAATCCAGACGGTCAGTATTACAACATATACTTTATAAACTACAAAACTAATGTAATACAAAGTAACTTAACCAACCCGTAAAATATTTTTCATTTTAGGCTCACGAGAAAAGATGCCCATCGCAAAATTTCATATGGTAAAATTACCTTTCTAAGCTAAAACTGTATATCCTAATGTGATAATGCTGCATTTAATACTCACAATATATGCAATAATAGCTATATTACATAAAGAAATAGTCAAGGAAAACAGCAGCAGACAAATGAATGTGTTTATTTATTTGTTCTTTATCAGGTAAACAGAGCACACTGAGAGAAGAGAGTTCACCTGTTTTGGTAAATGAAGATGGTGAACATTGAAGTGGATCATTGGACACTGTATGAAAGACTGTTTCTGCTGTTTCAAAACAACTATTACTTAAATAATAAACTTTTATGATATCGGTAAAAGTTTTAGCCTTAAATGTTTGTACCTAAAAAAAAAGGCAAGTAAATAAATTAATAACAAATAAATAGTATATATATTAAAAACGTGACTTGCTCTATTTTCTAAGTCTTCTAAAGTCACGAGGAACAAATTGAGACTGAAAATCTTTGGCATTGCTGTGTGTTCTGGCGTGCATGCAGGCATTCCAGTTCAAATGTCTAGAACAGAAAATCAAACATTTTCAGTAATGATGGCTTAAATTTAGGTCTGTTCCTCAGTTTTTGTCTTCAAATGATTTGGACTAGCATTTTATATCCCTTACTTTAATTTTGCTTTTTGTCCTCTTTGGAGCTTGACAGACGTGGTCATGAATGTCATGGAATTTCTTTGAAAAAAATGTATGGAGATTTTTTTTTTAAAAAGTGTTTCTTTTTATTACATGGCTCTCTGGATCACTTGATTATTGAGCGGTCAATATTTATTCATTGGAGCAAACTGTTCCTTCAAGCAAACAGACAACAGATAAAATAACCTTAAGAGCATGAGAAAGTTGCAACTATTGTTGGGGGGCAAAATGCTTTGCAAACTTTTAATAAAAAAAAGAAACTGTTGGTAATTTTATAAACCGGTACTTCAGCTTGTATTTTATGATGTTAATATTTTGTCCAGTGTTTCTCGGGGGATCCCATCAGTCATGGACAGGATGTTGGTCCATCAAAAGAATAAAGGTAATGCAAAAGCAGAATTTTTAATTATATGAATTAAATGAAACTGCAAAGTACCCTTACAGTAATTACAATTTACAAAGTAACACTTGTAAGGATCATTCTCACATACTTGGGATTTTCTTTCTTCTGTTTTCAGTGAGGAGAAGGAAATGTTGGAGTATGCTAAAAATAATAAATATTCAGAAATGAAATATATTGTTTACTTATATCTTAAAACAACAGGATAGCCTGTTCTTCTTTTTTTATAATGTCCATGGTCATGAATATTTATTAGTTAGGAACTGTTTCCTACATATGTGTGTGTGTTTTTTTTTAAGTTTGATTTTATCTGGGGGTTTTTTTCTAATAAAGATTTGTCCATTTGAAAATGGGTTTAATTTTGGCCCTCTGTAGACCATCACTGTTTCCAAAAAGGTATACTTATAATTTTATAATATAATTTTCTGTTGAAGAATCCTATCATAGTTTCTACAGTAGTTTTCAACACTGATCATAACAGTAAATGTTTCTTGAGCGGCAAATCAGCAAATTAGAATGATTTCTGAAAATTCTGTCCTATATCCCTTATGTGTGCAACTTTTCTTTACAAAAGTGGCCCGGTGGCCCATCAAATTAAAATTAATCTTATAATAATGCTATTTTTTATTATAAATAATAATGCAGGCAACATATATTTGAGATTGATGTCATATTGTATGTATTTTCTTTTTATTATTATTTTTTTGTGATTGGTTGCAAACCCACAGTGCATGAAACAGGAAATGTATGGCCTCTTGCTGTAGCCTTCACACTCCCATTTGACAGCTTGTGGTTAGACAGAAGCTGCATAACAGGATGTTAGAAGAGACAAGGGTCTCATGAAACAGAGCTGCAAACCTGCTTTCACTGTCCATTTTTGCAGCAAATCCACTGGCATTACTTAAGCCTTGACATGAAACTGTCTGAATTATGCCTTATATTGTCATGTAATGTTCTCCTTCCCTTCCCTCCATCCCTACAGTATGTAAATATACACACTGAGAGTGTTATGAAATATGATAAATAAATAAAATGAGTCTGCACATCTGTATTAACAAAGCATTTAAAATAAAAACATTATGGTTTGAGCTATCTACTCTATCACACATAATATTTTTAAGTAGTTTTTAAGGCTTGATTTTTTTTTATGGAATCTTTACTTTACTTTTACTTTACTTTTAGTCATTTAGCAGACGCTTTTATCCAAAGCGACTTACAAATAAGAAAAAGTAATTAAAACTAAAAGCTAAAACTCTATAAATACTATATATACACACACAGATACAGTACGAGACCAAACGCCATTTCAGCATGTCTCCACAGTAAACAAAACAAGCGTTTCCTAGCAACGACAACTGCGCTAAACACTGAGACAAGAAATAAATACACTTACAAGCTGCTTTTAACTTCTGCTGATTGACTGCTTCTCACAAAGAGTATTTCTTTACACTGTTTTGCTGGCGCTTGAACACACTTTCCTGTTTATCACAACAAATGGCCAAGCAAAGCACACGACACTGACAAGGTACGAGATGAAAGACGATTTAACGGTGAAAGAATCTACCTGAATAACTCATGTAAAATCTCCTAAATTAATTAATCTATGACACAATGAATTTAACATAATTAGTGAAATGTGCTCATTTATTTTAAGTTGATTCTCAAAAGTCTGTGATTTTGAGTGAGCCCTGTTTGTATTTGACTGAGTTATTTTGTACATTTAAAAGACTGTATACAGCCAGACAGCTCAAGTAGGAAAATACTTGATAAATACTGGAAAATGCAGTACTAGCACTAGCAATAGCAAAGCTCACTGAACAAGGTAAATAATGCCTCATATCCATAACCACAAGCTCTACTCTTCTGCACAATGGTAACGACAGAAACTTCAACGTAACAGAAACTCTTTCAAATGTCAAACATAACTGAACACTAAACATTAATAGATGTTTACCTTCACTCAAAAACACATAAAAAAGCACTTAATTTCAATATTTACTCTCCATATCCAGCCATATGCAAAGCATAAACTGCAAAATTGAGCTAATTCTCTTAAAATAAATA